GTTGATTTTCGCGAGATTCCAATCTAAGCCATACGATTCTTCACACATCCGACGTCGAAATTAATTTTTCGTCGAAAACCAAGGGTTCCAGGTGAACTTGTTGCTTACCCGAATGGACCTGACTTAGAACCAGGTTGCCTGAAGCAACGCCGTTGATTTTTTCGGCAATAACACACATGCAATACAACTTGGGTGGTCTAGATCGAACCTGAGCCCAAATGGGCCTCGATTTTTCCTTTGGGCTGCAAAGTAGCATCACTTATCTTGGGCCTCTGCCTATGCCATAACAACTCAACCATAAGAACAAAGCAACCTTCTATTCTATCTCGGCCCTCATCAAAATCCAGCCTAGTTTTAGGCTTGGATCTTATTTCTGTCCACCCAGCCTGTGTGGGCTTAGGTCCAGTTTCAAACCACCAAAATTTCAACACCTGTTTTTTTAAGCATTATTTATTAGGTTTACACTTTGGCCTGTGTCACATCCCCGCCAGGGCCCCCACCACATCCCGAGCTCGACTCCACCGTAGCACGATATTGTCCGCTTTGGGCCCCAACCACGCCCTCACGGTTTTGTATCTGGGAACTCACACGAGAACTTCCTAGTGGGTTACCCATCCTGGGATAACTCTCATGCGCTACTTGTTTAACTTCGGAGTTCCCATGGAACCCGCAGCCAATGAGTCCCCAAAAGGCCTCGTGCTAAGTAGAGATGAGAATATACATATAAGGCTTACAGGATCCTCACCCCTGGTGATGTGGGATCTTACAGCCTGTTTCTTCTTTGTTGCTCAGCAATCGAAAACAACCAATTATCAATTTATCGTAGGCCTTGAAGACCTACATGCATTTATCTGTTGCATACTTCTGGTATATGTTGCATTTTCTTACAAGAACTAATAAACTTGAAGTTTATAAAATTCAAACTGAAGTTTTTGAAAAACGTAACACGAAAACCCACAATTTTTCATGAAAATGTAAACCAATACATGCCTAATAGAACCCAAATGTTCTACTCCTTGTGTATGGATTGATAATTTTTTGTCTATATTGCACTAACGACACTCTTGTCTATTTTTTCTTTGACAAAGATATATTGTATTTGAATAAACTCGATTTTACTACTTTGGAAACCTCCAATAGAAACTATTTAAAGTGGGTCCAAGATGTGAAGCTCCATTGTACTGCTAAAAGCCTTAAAGCTACCTAGAAGCTGAGACGGATGTTTCAGTTGGCAAAGCTGACAAAGCCACCACCATGGTTTTCATACTAAGGCATATGCATAACGTATTGCAAACTAAGTACCTCACTCAGGAGGAACCATGAGCTTTATGGATCTCTTTGAAGGATTACTTTTATCACAAAAGAGATATATTCTTGCCTGAAGCAAGACAAGACTGGCAACACTTACCCTTCCATGACTTTAAGTTTGTGACTAAGTACAATTATGAAGTTTGTCGAATCTAGTCACTTCTTAAGTTCTGTAAGGAGGATTTAACTTAAGAGGATCTCTTGGAGGATTTAACATAAGTTCACTCTATAAAGAATATATCAAAGGAGACAACACCAAGCATATTGCGCTGAAATTCTTTTTCTCTCATTAGTAACAAGAACATCAGAACATTGAAGTCAAGCAAATTCGTTCCTATGACAATCTGGCCAACCTTTTCACCAAGTCACTGCCGAAGTCTACTTTTCAGAAACTTGTTCAAGAAATTGGTATGCGTAAACTTTATGAGTTGTAACATTATTAGCTCTTTGGAACTATGTCAAACTCAAGGGTGTATCCTGAAGTATACTCACTTAGCCTTATGTACTATTTTCTCCTACGATTAGGAGCATTTTTTTTCCTTTAGGTTTTTGCTACCTGATTAGGTTTTAATGAGGATGTGCACGAATTATGAGCTGGTCATACCGTTGTGTACGTCCTTAGGCGTTTAAATTGGCTTTGCATCCAACTCACCATTTTCCTTAAACTATTGGGTTTTATCATAGTTGGGTTTTGTGAGGCTTATTTCCATATGCAAGTTCTATGTTTGAGGCTAGCGTTTTCCTAGATCAGTGCCGACAACTTGACTTCCTCAATTTTTCCGAACCTGATGTTACACCTAAACCCTTGTTATAAATATTACCTAATTATGATTGTGTAAATCCTAGATAGATTTGATATTTAGATTATCCATTATTCTAATGATTCCTTTCCTATAGGATTGTACTTACTTGGAGAACAACTAATTATCTCCTATAGGGAGAATCACAACAATTCTTAAGCATTCTACAATCTCTCTCTCTCTCTCTCTCTCTCTCTCTCTCTCTCTCTCTATATATATATATATTTTTTTTTTTTTTTTTTTTCCGCATCCTTTCTTTCTCTCAGATAAAATAGGCCACAACAACCCTATTATTTTTCTCTTATTTCTATTATTCACTACATAAATCCATATCCTTTATGCCCTTGCTTATGTTGTCAACTTCACCAATTTACCAATATAAGTTTGGAAAAAAAAAAAATCATTTTGGCACATTGTTTCTTCTTATGTAATTACACACCTCGACCGGAGTCGAGGCATGCTGGCCATCATCCAAAGGTGACATAACCAAAAGTATGAGTGATGCAAAAATGCGAATAAACTAAGGGAATTGTTATTGGCACTCCAAAAATCTCATTCTACACTCCAAACTTTCTATATTTGGAAAGAAAAATACACTTGTGAAGAGTGTAGAATGAGATTTTTAGAGTGCCAATAATACTCCCTAAACTAAAACCGGAACTAGAACTTATTTAACTAATAAAGTGAGTGCGCAGTAATGGGTAGAACCCATAAAATACAAATGTTCAGAGCATAGATAGCATAAAAGTAATGCAATCGAGACTAGAAAAGTGTTGAATACACAACCAGGAAAAGTTCCTACATTAAACAGAGATATGTCAGAATCGCCAGATATTCCTCGAATGCCACAGAGAATTCAGCTGACAAGGACCTGGATGGGCAAAAAACAGAAGGGTGAGTGGGCACAAAAATAAAGGTTTACAAAATTCATTTATTTTCTGAACATACTAACCCCTCGCTGTAAAACATGTATAGTTTCCAAAAAATCATACTATGTAGGTATGAAATCAAATGCAAATTAGCAATAAATCCAGAAGTATCCCCTTTTACACTCATCGAAATGACGGTTATTGCATCTGTGACAGTGCGGAGTGTTGGAAATGTGCCCTAAAACCAATCATATGATGATACTTTATGGACATTTCACATGTTAAACTAATCTAGTTTAATATTAAGGGCAAACATTATTGTTTGAACCGTCTCATATAAATGTTATATGCTTAAACGATAAGTCCAAGGAATATGTGATTGGAAGAATGCGATCTAAAGAAGTTAGATTCATAAGACCATTCTTTCGTTGACACATCCTAAACGTTCCTGATCATAGGATTGTCAATTGGGCATTAACAGTCCGTTAAGATCAGTACGTGCTATGTCTTCTCTCAGGGAGACTGACTAGTCTCGAGTCATTGGTGTGTGTGACATCAAGACAAGTACGTAGGTGCTCAATAGAGAATGAGTTCACTGAACACGATCAATGAAGAGTTTTCATATTCATGTCATATGAGAACTCATGGTTAGGATAATGCAAATTAGTCTTTTGACCTGAGGCATCACAGTTGTCTTGTGGTTAGGTCCTTAATCTTTGATTATGTCAAAGTCACTCCATCATGAGGGTGTCCATGGCATCGTTGGGGTTAAGCCACTTAGCCATTGAGGCAAGTGAATGCGCAACACGGGATCTCTAACCTTCAAACTGTTTGAGGGAGAATACTCTATGATATGATTTGGAATCTCTGGCTAGAGTATGAATGAGATGTTGGAATGCGTTCCAGATGACATTCAAGGTAATCATATAAGTACAAGATTCACATTGGATAGTAGACATGAATAAACTATCAAACCAAACAATGTGGTCAAGAGTATTGTTTTAGAGAAAGACCGTATTGCATTTGTAATCCTAAACTGAATAGGTTCTCCACCTCTTCTGATTAGCTTGGGTAACCATGACATGCTGCTAGGCGTCAACCATGGTTTGTGGAAGCCCTAAAAGTGTATTATCACTAACGGGAGAATTGAAAGTAAGTTTCAATTCACAATCGATTAGAAAGAGTTTTAATCGCCCACTGCCTCGCTAAAAGGAACCTAATGGATCGTTCACCGAGTAAGGTAGAGTTTGAAGAAACAACGGAGATGAGTAAGAATAATTAAATGGTTTAATTATTTATCTAAGGCTAGGATTAATTAATATGTTAATTAATCAAACGAATAAGTTAGTTAAAGACCTCGGGTTAGTTTTGGGCCGCAAGGCCCAATGGGATTTGAATGTCAAGCCCATTAACTCAAGTTGTATGACAACTTGAATAAAACAAAGGGCTTGAAAGCCCAATAAACCTATAGGCCGGCCATGTGTAAAAGAATAGGGCTTTTGGTCCATTAGGTCACTTATTTGAAGGGACTATATAAAGGACTTTATAGCCTAAAATTTACTAAGGGTTAATTTTGGGGAAAGGATGAGAACACAAGCTCTCCTTTCTCTCTAAAATTTCGGCCAACCTTGGAGGGATCATCTAGCAATCAAACTCCTCCAAGGTCACTCATTTCTTCTTCATTATGCCTTGGTGATGAATAATTAGAGGTTCTCAATTTTGGGAACTTGGAGAAACCTTTTCATCCATCCAAATCCATGGATCTAAGATGCAAGGAATGAAGGCCCTTTCTTTGGGTGATTAGCCTTTGCTTATGCAAAGAGGAATCTACAAAGGTATTGATTTCTCAACTCACTTTGTTTTGAGTTGAGTCTTGGTTCACCTATCTATTAGGCTTTGAATTTCATGGGTAAATGTTTTGTTTTTAAGTGCATACAAGCATGATTCCGCCTTTAATTGTTAATTGCATGCTATTGATGTTGCTTAAATGAACATGTTTTTCACAAATCTTCCTTCACGGAGCACCAAAATTGCTAGGGTTCCTCTAATTTTGAAAGCAGGAACTACCTACGGACTTGCCACCCCTTTGCGGCGTATTGGAATTTGAACCACCGCTCGACGATCCAAAACTATTACCACTTCTCTTGAAATTATGAGTCTTTTGAGGGCCAAAAGACAATTGCCCCCTGTTATTATTCCTCTGAGTATTATTATTGTTATCCTTTTCATCATTGTCATCATCAGGAGCATTCTTGGAATCTTCAACACGAAGCAGAACCTCAAAGAATTCTTGGTAGGTAGAGCAGAGAGTAGAGGTCGCCATAGAACGCAATCGCTTGCAAGTCCCCTTCTTAAAATAATGGAGCATCTCCTTGGGATTCCCAATGATCTCGAGATAATAGCGGGATAAGTCTATGAACTTTCGGTGGTACTCTGTGACTAATATCTTCCCTTGCTTTAGGTCTATGAAATCCTCTTTCTTTCGATCGTTGTACTTCGGAGGTGTGAACCTAGCCTTAAATAGGCATCTGAAGACATCCCAATCCATGGCCTCTTGAGCAGACAACTGGCATGACTCCTGAGACCATGATGCTGCTCCCAAATGAAAGAACCAAGTCGTTGTCTCAACCCATTTCTCCGCCAGAAGGTTTCCTTGTCGCTGCATAACTTGGAAAGTCTTCTTAACATGGTCAATCCAAATCTTACATTTCTCAGGTCCCTTATTGCCAAAGAAATTATTTATTTGAAGGTGGGATACTGTCTCCAAGGTAATCCTTTGGGGAGAACGAAGTGTAGACTAAATAGCACTAGCAATAGCCTCACCATGTTGTCCAAAATCGGAAAAATTAGTCTCAGCAGGGACACGTGGCTCTCTACGAGGTGGCATGATTTTGACATAAGAAACAAAAAAACTATTAGAACCTATAACACATACGAGGAATGCAAGACTGCCTGAACTTATGCTCTGATACCAAACTGACACACCCCGACCGGAGTTAAGACATGTTGGTCGTCACCTAAAGGTGATGTAACCAAAAGTGTGAATGATGCAAAAATGCAAATAAACTAAAATCGGAACTAGAACTTATTTAACTAATAAAGTGAGTGCGCAGTAATGGGTAGAACCCATAAAATACAAATGTTCAGAGTATACATAACATAAAAGTAATGCAGTCAAGACTAGAAAAGTGATGAATACATAACCTGGAAAAGTTCATACGTTATATAGAGATATGTCAGAATCGCCGGATATTCCTTGAATGCCACAAATAATTCAGTTGACTAGGACCTAGAGGAGCAAAAAACAGAAGGGTGAATGGGCACAAAAATAAAGGTTTATAAAATTCATTTATTTTCTGAACATACTAACCCCTCGCTGTAAAACATGTATAGTTTCCAAAAAATCATACTACATAGGTATGAAATCAAATGCAAAACAGTAGTAAATCCAGAAGGCCAAATCACGATATCACAATAGTAGCATAAGTATAATCAACTACTCAACAATCTATGCTAGCACACAAGTCGGAGTCGCCTAATGCGACCTGTATGACTGACTTAATGGTCCATCAATCTATGCAAGCACATGAGTCAGAACACCTAATGCGACCTGTACAACAGGACTGGGTGTAACCATAATATACGTTCTAGTGCTACGATCACGTGAAAACCGGCGCAATGCGTGGTCACCTACAAGTCGGAGTCACCTAATACAACCTGTACGATAGGACTGGCACCTGCTTGGATCCAAGGTGAGCATGCAGTGCAGAAGTGAAAATACACGTGAAGGACTGGCCTGGCCCAGGGTGAGCACTAAAACTGGGATGCAACAATGATGAGTAGATTACATGAATATAAGCAAGCCATGATAATTCAATAATTCCAATCAACATAATAAACTTACTAGAACTTACCTGCGCATCTTGTAGGATTATTTTAGCATTTAACAATAGTACAACATTGATGAGCATGTAAAATGTATATGAATATGCCATTACCATACATAAATCTCAACCACATAACCGCATTTTCAGCCTCGTTTCTCCTTGAACGTCCTCGGGGTAAGTCTCCCCTATATGCAAAACAACTAATGATAATTAATTAAATAACACATATACGAAAAAGCTAGGAAAAAATTCCCCATAGCTTGCTCAAACAAAAGGTTTAAATATACGAAAATGTTCTACTCGACGTCACGAACCTGTACATGTCAAGCACTCGTCAGCCTGAGGCTGAACGCGTCCTCACCCGCCAGCTAGCCCGCGACCACACGTGCGCCCACGCGCAAGTCAGTGACTGACAGAAGTCTAATGAACGTTAGGAATATTTCGTTAAATAGTAATGGCGTTAGGTGAGTCTCGCCGTCCATTGGCTGGTTTCGCCGGAAACTAGAAAAATGTCGCCGGTTTCTGGAAAATTTCAAAATCGCATAACTTCTTCATTTCTCAACCATTTTTGACCAACTTTATATGGAAATGAAGCTCTTGAGGAGAAGAACAAGATTATACCTTTCAAAAGCCCAAAAATGGATGTAAAATGGCTTGAAAAAGCCTTGAAAGTCTCGGCCTAAAACTCGACTCCTTGAAACAGTGATTCTTAATGTTGTCTTCACTCCAAACTTAGCCTAGGGACTCCAGGGAGTTGTGTGAAAGCTTCCCCACGTCCTAAAACCTTGTAACTCGGCCTGAAACTCGTTGAAGGAAAACTCACCAAGTTGGATCTTTCGAGTTGATGGGTCAAACCTTGATCAATTGAGAATCGATTAGTATGGCTGGGTTTATGAAGATGAGAGGATTACGAGGGTGGTATTTTTAAGTTTGATCTATGAGTGTTTGATGAAGGTCCTTGTAGTTGTAGAGAAAAGTGAGGTATGGGTGAGAGAGAGAGAAAGAAGATGAGAGAAAGAATGACAGCTTTTCTGAATGGTAGAAAAGTGAGGGAAGTTGTCTGGTTGGGTGAGAGAATTAAGGAGTGAAATTGATTGGTGGTCAGGGATTTGAGCGCCCAGGTCCAATTTTAAAGAAGAAAACAGATAGGGTTCGTACAATCATAATTAGATGAAATTGAATGTACCCTCTCTAAAACAGTAGTTTCCAGTACTAAATAATTAACACACGCGTGTACAACTCTGCCCGTTGTTAATGTACTTTAATGTAACTTGACTTTTTCATTACAAATCCGATTCTGGTCTAATTCGTGTTCATGCGATCGTAACAACGAGTACAATTTAATTAAAATAGTGAGGAAAATAATTTAAAGCTGCATAATCATGTCCACATCACTTTGCCAACAAGGGCATAAATGTCAATTTACACACTCGGGAGAAATTACATAGAAAATTAGTGACGGGTCGTCACATGTAACATCATTTCATTTTGGAAATTTTTATTTGAACTCGTATAACGTCTCTCTGCACCCAATTTAAATTTTAAATTGTTTTCGAAATTATATTTGAACCCATATAACTTCTCTCTACACCCAATTTAAACTTTAAAAATGAATTTTTTATTATTCTATTGCATAATTGCCATCAAGTCCAAGATGAAAAGAATAATTACCACCATATAATCTTTTTTCAACATTCTATTCTAGCAAAAATCCTAAGACGCTCTCATAGAGAAAATAAATGTTATTTATTTATTTATTTATTTATTTTACAGATGGATGGTGATTTTGAAGTTTTGGATCCTCCAACTAAGGTATGAATCGATTTATGCAAGTTCTTTTTGTTTTGATTTCAATTCTTATATGAGGCAAAACAAAAATTCAGCTGATGCCTATGAGGCTCTATTGCACTTGCTTCAGTCAATGTCCTATCAGTGAGTGTTAAGAGCTTTCAATTTAAGAATTTAGCTTCTTTCTTTTTGAATTTGTGGTAAGTTAGTAACATGAGTAAAAACCATGTTATTATAAATTGATTAGCAATATTTTTTTATGTTTGTGTTCATGTTTTTTCCTACTTAATCACTGGATTTTTTCTGCTTAACAGTTCAACATGACTCCATTGAAAAAAAAAAAATGTTTTATTCAGCAAGATACCATCGAAAAATTTAATTTTCAACAGCATTTAACTAAATACTTATGTTTATTCCAGTTGTTTGCCACCGAATATAATTTTGTCTTTTTTTTTCAATAATGGTGATTTTTTTATATATTTATTTTTAAAATGAGTGTAAAGATATTACATATTTAATTGAGTTTGTGAGAATAATTTAGGTATTTTGGTTTGAAGAGATTTGATAGTTTAATTAAAAATAATATGAATGAAGAGAGTAAATTGGTTGTGGAGAGAAATTATATGAATGTAGACAGTTAACTAAAATTATTATGTATACGCAAATTCTAAGAAAATCCTTTACAATTAGTTGTAGTGTAGACACAATTTTTTTTTTTTTGAACAAACATTATTATCTATATTAAGGGGGAGGGGTATGTTTAGCCTCACAATGAACTAGCAATAATGCAATTCAAATTTGTCTTTGGTGAGAATCGAACCTAAAACTTTTCACTTACAAGTAAAGAGAAATACTACTAAACCGTAGTACTAAGTGACTTATAAACGTAGGTGGTGCACAACACATGTTTAACTTTCTTGAGATACTTTAGATTATCAAATCACGCATACTTCATGGTAGCCACCTTAACTAAAGGGATGTGTCTACGCCATACATATTCGAGTTTAATATCCTATCAGTGTAATTTAAATTAGTTTAAAGTAAAATACAGTTACATAATTTTTATTTTTATTTTTATTTTTTAAGAGAATCTAACTGTTTGATGAGGAGCATGAATGCAGAGACCACCACCCAGCAACCCACCCATAATGAATGAATGATGCTGCTTGCCCAATCAATCTCCTAAAACAATGACAGGCACACGTTAAAACAAATCCACGATGTATACAGGAGTAAGATTTTATAAATGAGCCTATGGCTACGAGAAATTTATATACAGGGAGGTCCCACCCCAGTCGTCCAGTCCACTCCATTCCATTTGACCAAACCTTAACCTAACCACGGTCGCACTGTTTCACATAGAGGATAAGGTTTTTTTAGTGTATCGGAAACACGATCTAGTACATTATACATAGATATACATATACAGAAATAATTTTTTTTTTAACAAATAATATTATTTACATTAAAGGAGGTGGGAAGATGGGCTAACCTTCATAATGGGTTAGGAATAATACGATTCTAATTAGTCATTGACAAGAATCAAACCTAAAACCTATTATTTACAAGTAAAGAAGAGAATATCACTAAATCATAATATTAAATGCTACTAAAGTGATTTTTGAAATGTATTAGAAACACGATTCAATAGAGGTATACACATAGTGGATAAGTTGTCCTCCCACCAAACACCCCACACGTGTGGCCAAAGTTGGAGTCAGATGTATGTGGAGAGAGAGAGAGAGAGAGAGAGAGAGAGAGAGAGGCCTGTTGGGTTTGTCCCTCTGTTCCACTTGTTGTAATATAAAAGCCACCATATACCCAGCAAAGCGTAACTTAGCCAAATCCAAATCAGAATTTGCAGAGACCCCCAAAGATTTAGCAACCAACAGAGAGAGAGAGAGACGCACAAATGCCCGGGAGTTTAGAGCCGTTGGATTTGGGGGTACAGATACCATACCACTTTAGGTGTCCCATATCCTTAGAGCTCATGCGCGACCCCGTCACGGTCAGCACCGGCCAGACCTACGACCGTCCCAGCATCGAGTCTTGGGTGGCCACCGGCAACATCACCTGCCCCGTCACCCGGGCCCCGCTCTCCGAATTCACTCTTATTCCCAACCACACCCTCCGCCGCCTCATCCAGGAATGGTGCGTCGCCAACCGCTCTTTCGGCGTCGAGCGCATCCCCACTCCTAAACAGCCCGCCGACCCCACCCACATCCGCCACCTTCTTGCTCAATCTGCATCGAATTCCAACCCTTACCCGACCCGAGTCTCCGCCCTCCGCCGCCTGCGCGGCCTTGCCCGCGACCTCGACAAGAATCGCTCCACCATCTCCTCTCAAAACTCCCGCGAAATTCTCCTTGAGCTCGTGTTCTCCGATACCAATTCCGAATCGTCCGAGTTGACTCACGAGGCGCTCGCGCTTCTTGTTCTGTTCCCGCTCCCCGAGTCCGACTGCGCTGCGGTGGCGTCAGATCCTGACCGGATCGCGTACCTGTCTCACCTTGTGCAGCACCCCTCCATGGAGGTCCAAGTCAACTCGGCCGCGTTGATCGAGAACGTCCTGGCCGGGTCGCGAACGGCGGAGCTACGAGCGCAGGTTAGCAATGTGGACGAAATCCACCACGGCGTCGTTTCAATTCTCCGAAATCCGATCGCCTACCCGCGCGCCCTCAAAATCGGCGTGAAGGCGGTCTTCGCTCTGTGTCTTGTGAAAGAGACCCGAAATAAGGCCGTATCGGCCGGCGCGCCCGAAACGTTAATCAACGTCTTGGCGGATTTCGAGAAATGCGACTCGGAGCGTGCACTCGCTACGATCGAGCTGCTATGCAGAGTCCCCGAGGGTTGCGCGGCGTTTGCTGCGCACGGGCTGACTGTGCCGCTGCTGGTGAAGACGATTCTGAAGATCTCGGACCGGGCGACGGAGTACGCGGCGGGAGCGCTGCTGTCGCTGTGCTCGGCGTCGGAGAAGAGCAAAAACGAGGCCGTGGCGGCGGGGGTTCTGACGCAGCTGTTGCTGTTGGTGCAGAGTGATTGTACGGAGCGGGCCAAGCGGAAGGCGCAGCTGCTGCTGAAGCTGCTTCGGGATTCGTGGCCCGAGGACTCTGTAGGAAATTCAGACGATTTCGTTTGCAGTGAGCTCGTAGTGCCCTTTTGAAATTTCACTTTTTCTGTTTTTTCTTCCGTTTCTCATTAATTTTCTTAATCTCAAATTTTCAGATTCTTAGTAGAAAAAACAAAAAGAAAAAGGAAAGTGAAAATTGAGGTTGTAGGTTATTGGTATATAAAAAAATTGTAATTTTTTTGTGTATTTTGTATGTAAGCATTTTTGTTTAGATGATTAAGAAAAGTTGCAAATTAAAATTTCAGAGGACAAAGTTTAAATGTGTTCTTCTCGTGATTTTTTTTTATTTTAATTTTTCAGGAAAAAAAAAAGAAAAAACGAATGTTTAATTAGTTTGTTAAAGGCAGATAATATCGTTTTATTTTAATTCGTAGCATTTTCATACATAGAACTGCACTCTCATAAGTGAGACGAAAAATCCATTGGAGATTATGAAATAGTGATTGTCATTGGCCACCCTAATTTCCACTCACTCGTTTGAATGATTGGTGGCACATCAAATCATTCATAATTCTTGTTTGTGACCAGCTTTGACTGGGCCCTTTTGTTTGTGGAATTTTAAATACTTATAATTCAGTAACACCATAACTTAAGCCCTTACAAGCCCAATCACTAAAACCAGAGAGAGAGAAGAGGGAGGGGGGTTGGGGTGGTTTAAGGTTTCCAAAGATGGTTAATGGTTAGATTTGGCAATTTCTTGAACCGCCTGTTAATCCGTTATGAAACGATACGAAAATAACAATATAAACATTTTCTCATATAATGTGGCTTGAAAGTATTGAAGATGATGGTCACATGTTTGTGGAATAAAAGCATTGTAATCACATGGCTTTGTTCATATTCTTTGTGTTGTGATGGCTACTAGTGCTCACATGCCAACCCAACTTTGTTTGCTACTCTTTTAGTCACAATAGCATATGGGGGTTCAATTTGTCCACCAATATGATATATTACAACATTTGGGTCCCAACCTCATAATTTCTCTCTTCTAACTTTGTCAATAAGTAGGGGATTTGTAACCCTTTCTGTTATGCTCTCCATCTTTCCATCTTTTTCAACCATATTTTTTTGACGACATTCTTTAAGCTGTTGAATCAAATTTACAGTTACCTAATCACAAATTGTAAGTTGTTAAATCAAATTAAACGATCAATTATGCAACGACATTCAATGGCTCTAGGCTCTAGGTCTCGAAGAAAAGTTGCCTCTTTCAAGGGTGAATTTAATAAAGTGTTGTTGAGGAAAAAAAATCCAAGATATCTTGGGTGGTGGGCAGTGAGGACATGATACTTGACTCATTGAGACAATTTTTGCTTAGTTAAATGGTGTTTTTATGTCACCTAATATTACGGTCTAGTGATATTCTTTTTTACTTATAAGTAAGAAATCTTATATTTGATTCTCGCGCAAATTTGAACCAAATTATTGCTACCCATTGTACAGCTAAGCCCAGGATTCCCCTCCCCTTTAGTGTAAATAGTATCATTTGTTCAAAAATAAAAAATAAATGAAAATGGTGTATTTATATAGATCATTTCTACATACTTCATTTTACTCGATGTGGGATTTGGACTACACTAGTAGTCAAAGCAAACATTATATTTATATGGACTTGAACAACTCTTCTTTTCACGCGTGAGGCTACTGCTAGAGTAGAGTGCTCACACACTCTGTAGTAAGGTCATGCACTATGTAATGCATGACTTATGTAGAACAACCATATTACATTTCTTTTGGAAATATTCGACCAATGAGATACGGAGAGGAGAAAGGAGTAGAAATCAAATAGCTAGGTTTGTTTACAGCTTACTGTAAATGATTATTTACTTTGGTAGTTTTGTTTCACTCTACAACGTACAATTTCTAATTATATATGGTTCTGTTTTTGTTGCATAAATTTAAGTTTGTCCAATTCTTTGGGACAAGTTAAACTACACCCTATGCTCTTTAGTTAGTAAATTGATGGATCTCAATAGATAATGTTAGTGAACCATCACAGGTTAGCCTATTGGTTGGGGACAAAGTTTAGGCCTGTATTTTATACAACATGTTCTGGGTTCGATTATTGGTGTTAATGAATCACAAGATGGTGGTCAGGAAAAGGCTGAAATTCCTCTTTGAATCTTCCCCACCTCTTACGGGGGTTTACTGCCCTAGACTGCAATGCAATGATAGTTGGGGTTATTCATTCAAAACGGAGCTTTAAGTAATTTTGATTATGAAAGAGAGTTTCGGAGGATTTACTTCCCATGAACCCTAGATTTAAATTTAACTTGTTCCTTTCGTTTTGAAAGAGATGATGCTTCGTTGAACTAAACAAGAATACTTTCATAAAATAATAGGTGTTAAATAAAATCTAGAAGCTTATCGCATGTTTTAAGTTGTCAGGAAGTGGATCAACTATGTTCATCAGTGCTGTGAAAAAATAATGGTACGAGATGATAGCAGCAAGATGTTTTAACATCCGAATGCCCCAACAAACAGAGCAACATGTTCAATTGGAAATATACCACAACCATTTTGCTGTAATCATGACAGAGCCTGGTATTACTTTGAGTTGTTTTTGCTGAATGCGGACGGAATATTTGAAAACCCAAGATACGTGGGTTCTTGAGAATCTAGCCCATTAGTTGATTGGGTTTAGTTTTGAAAAACTGGGCTCCAGTAGAGATTTTACTTTTATTTACCATGTCAATTGAACTAATAATTCTAGTAGTATTCTTCTTCATTTGTAAGTGAGAAATGTTAAGCTTAATTTTTTTTCAAAGGAGAATTTGAACCACATAATTGCGAGCCCATTGTGAGGCTAAGCCCACCCCATCCCCCTTAGTTTGGATAATACCGGTTGTTAAACTATCCCTATCCTCCTTAGTGTAGATAATATCCATTGTTCAAAAAAAAAAAAAAACAATTAATAATCGAACTAAAACACTCTTGAACAAACTAAATAGTTACTTCTTGATCCACACACACTCTAACCCTTGTCTGGAGATATTGTCAACTAAAAGCTTGTTTGGTCTCCACCCTAGAAGTGGTTTTGGAGTGGACAAGTCATGGAATCAAAAGATAAATTGAAAGTAGGAGTTAATGATTTTTCATTTGATGGGATTAAAAATGGATCAAACATGAAGTAGACTTGTCACTTGTAATTCTACCATTTTAGAGGGATTGGAATGGGTTAGTTTTAATCAAACTTTTACTTTCAAGGTGGACAGAAATTTCTTCCTTCAATATGCCTTCAACACAGTGGGTTAGAGACACCAAGTGAGGCCTAAATGTTTAATCCGTTTGGTTCCTCACTTTTTAGCTTAAGCTTTTAAAATGGTAATCAATAATGATATTAGGGCAACTTCACTTAGGGGATAAGAATGAAGGGGGTATGAGAATGAATGACTATAAGAAGGAATGAGTATGAGATAAACAAACCCTATATATATATCTTCATTTTTCAGGTACATTTGTCATGGTAATGAAAAGTAATGGTGTGAACACGGAAAATTTCCTGAAAACAAGAGATAAGAATACGTGCACAAAATAATATTTTTGTGTTTTAATGATTTTGGGGTTACGATCTCTCAAATTTGGTCATCTGATTCGATCTCCGTAAGATGTAGATTTGTTGATCCAAGGGCCGTCGAGGCTTGATCTTGGATGAACAGTTATAAGTTTCTTCAAGGGCCTTCGTGGCTTTGATCTTGAAGGTTGATGGAAGTTTCTTCAAGGGCTTTCGAGGCTTGATCTTGAATGAACAGTTGGTTTTCTTCAAGGGCTTTTGAGCTTGATCTTGAAGAATGGTTGGTTTTCTTCAAGGGCCGTCGAGGCTTGATCTTGAATGAACAGTTGGTTTTCTTCAAGGGCTTTTGGGCTTGATCTTGAAGAATAGATGTGTGGATTTGTTTGTTGATCCAAGGGGCCGTCGGGGCTTGATCTAAGGATGAACAGTTGAACACTTTCTTCAAGGGCCGTCGGGGCTTGATCTTGAATAATGGTTGTGTGGATTTCTTCAAGGGCTTTTGGGCTTGATCTTGAAGGTTGATGGATGAGCGGATCTTCAAGGGCTTTTGGGCTTAATCTTGAAGAACGATTAGATGTGTGGATTTATTTGTGCTGTTGATCCAAAGGGCCGTTGGGGCTTGATCTTAGGATGAACGATGAACACTTTCTTCAAGGGCCGTCGGGGCTTGATCTTGAAGGAGGATTTGACGAAGAACGAAGAGTGCTTTCTTGATCCTCCGAGATTTTCTTGAGAGCTTTAGAATTTAAGGCTTCAAGGTTTTGGTGTGTAGAGAAATGTATTTGTGAATTGGTGTTTTTTCCTCTTGATGGAGAAGCTTATTTATAGGCTTTGAGAGTGAATCACCACCACAAAATTTTCCCACCCAAGCACTATTACCTAATTTTCCCACTTAATGTAATATTGAAATTGAAATGGTCTAACAAATGGCCTAATTTTCCACTTAATGCAATATTGAAATTGAAGTGGTCTTCTTTATGGCCTAATTTCCCACTTAATACAATATTGAAATTGAAGTGGTCTAACAAATGGCCTAACTTTCCACTTAATGCAATATTGAAATTGAAGTGGTCTAACAAATGGCCTAACTTTCCACTTAATACAATTTTAAACTTGAAATGTGCTTGCTTTGTCATTGCCCAAATGAGAAAAACTTGCTTTGATCCGTAATGGATTGAAATGTGCTTACCTTGTCATTGCCCAAATTGAGAAGAAAAACTTGTTTAATCATCCAAGGGTATTTCTTCCTATTTTGTTGAGTCACATGCCATGTGTACAATTTGTACGACACGTGGCGTATGTCATGTATGCCCTGACACGTCAAAACTTTAATACGTTGGTGAACATTTGTTTCACCGAAATTTCGATGTCTACAAATGGCCCACTCACTTAATCCTTTTATTTTAGTAAAGAGTAATGCTAGGCAGACTAAATTTTTTAAACTAAATTTGTAAACCAAATGATATGGTTGTAGATAACTAGATTATTAACCAAGTATCGATCAATGTGCTTGTTTTTTTATTAGTGACACATCATTTAGTTTATAAATTTTATTTTTCTAGCATTACTTTTTAGTAAATACAAAGATATCAAAGATGCAAATCCATTTCTTATAAGTAAACGTTCCAGAAAAGAGAGACCATTTGTTCATGTGTATAATGCTGGATATAAGAGGAAGTGTTGAGCACGAAGTACTAATCATTTTAGTTATCTCCACTAGTTATAACTTA